TGCAACATCTGCTCCCTCACAAATCATTTAGAGAGTGAATGCTGGTATAAGGGAAAGAAAGCTGTCCGATGCAACTTCTGCAAAAGACTTGACCACAAGGAGAAGTTCTGTAGGCAAAAACAAAAGCTGGAAGCAGCACAATCCAAGCAGGAGCTGCAACATGTAAATGTCATTGAGATATCCAGTGAACAAAGTAATACAATTCTTGTTGCTTTAAGTGAATTGACAGTGGAAGACGACAGCCTCTGGATTGTTGATAGTGGTTGCACTTCTCACATGTGCAAGAATGAAACCATGTTTGTGTCACTTGACAAATCAGCAACAGGCCAAGTAAGACTTGGAAACGATATGCTGGAATCCATAAAAGGCAAAGGTAATGTTGCTACAAAAACGAGGGAAGGTAGGAAACTTATTACTGATGTGAATTTCATTCCCACTCTCTCTCAAAATCTACTTAGTGTAAATCAAATGAGCAATAATGGATACTCAGTTTTATTCAAAAACCAATGCTGTAGAATCCATAATCCTAAAGATAAATTGATTGCTCTCATTCCAAAAAGGAACCAGGCGTACTCCTTGAATCTCCAAGAAGTAGTTGAAATGGCAAACGCTGTCACAATACTTGAAGGGAAGCTGTGGCATAGACGTTTTGGCCATTATCATGCTGTTGAGTTACTTCAGTTGCAAAAGGGAGATCTAACCAAGGATCTTCCAAATATAGGAGCTACCGAAAAGGTTTGTGGTGTCTGCCAATTGGGAAAAATGGCTCGACAAACATTTCCTACTTAGACATATTGAAGGGCAAATCAAAAGCTTGCACTAATTCACTCGACATATGTGGTCCAATGAGTGAAAACTCAATGAATGGAAACAGGTATTTTGGTTTATTTATTGATGATTTTACCAAGATGACCTGTGTGTGCTTTCTGCAGAACAAAGTTCAGATAGTAGACGAATTCAAAAGATTTAAAGTCCTGACAAAGAAGGAATGTGGATGTGTGTTGAAGTGCTTAAGAACAGACAATGGACTTGAGTTCAATTCCGGTGAATTCAAGGAATTTTGCTCCAAAAATAGGATCAAACGATAACTCACAGCGTCATATTCTCCACAACAGAATGGTGTCTCGGAGAGGAAGAATAGAACCATCGTGGAAATGGCAAGAAATATGCTTGCTGACAAACATTTACCAAAAGTGCTTTGCGCTGAGGCAGTAAACACTGTTGTATTTCTGCTCAACATGTTGCCCACAAAGGCAGTGGAAGGAATGACACCCGTGGAGGCCTGGAATGGCATAAAACCATCAACTCAGCATCTGAAAGTGTTTGGGTCGATTTGTTACTGTCATGTTTCAAATGACAGAAGAACAAAGCTGGACGAGAAGGCTGAATTGGGTTTATTTTTAGGATATAGTGCAGAAGAAAAAGCATATCGGGTTTTGAGCTTGAAAAACAATAAGCTCATGATCCAGAGAGATGTGTTGGTAGATGAAACAAGCTACTGGAACTGGGAGAAAAGGAAAATAGAAACAGATTGTTTAACTGTTGAAGCTATAACCAAATTCAGTCCAACTCTAACATCTAGCTCAATTGATGTAACAGAGGAAGAAGGTGATAGTTTAAATGAGGAAAGCATAAGACCAAATAAAATGAAAAGTCTCGCCGATATTTATGAACGCTGCAGCCTTACTGCGGACGAACCTGTAACCTTTGAAGCAGCTGTAAAATAAATTCAGTGGGTTAAAGCTATGGAAGAGGAAATACGTGTAATTGTGAATAATGGAACCTGGACTCTGGTTCTAAGACCGGCAAACAAGAAACCAATCGCAGTAAAATGGGTATTCAGGCTAAAACAAAATCCTGAAGGTAAAATTAACAAATATAACGCTCAGTTGGTTGTAAAGGGCTTTGCGCAAGTACCTGGTGTTGATTTTGCTGAAACGTTTGCACCAGTAGCAAGACATGAAGTCATACGTCTTATTTTGGCACTTGCAGCCCAGTTTTAATGGCAAGTAATGCACTTGGATGTCAAGGCTGCCTTCTTAAATGGTGACCTGAAGGAAGAAATATTTGTGGAACAGCCAAAGGGATTTTTAGTTGCAGTAAAAGAAGATCACGTGTATATCCTGCATAAGGCTTTATATGGATTGAAGCAGGCACCCCGAGCCTTGTATGAGAAATAGAATGATTATCTTCTACAGTGTGGCTTTAAGAGAAGCAAAACTGAAGCTACTTTGTATGCCAAAATTGAAGGAGAATTAAAGATATACACAACTGTGTATGTGGACGACATATTAGTCACGGGAAACAATGAAACAGAGATAGATGGATTCAAGAAGCAGTTAGAAGATCAATTTGAGATGTCAAGTCTAGGGGGAGCTACTTATTTTCTTGGACTGGAGATCAATCAAATAAAGGGAGGGATCTTCCTAAGTCAGTCCAAATATGCTCGTGAAATATTGAGTAAATTTAAAATGGAAAGGTGTAAAGCTGTAGGAACTCCATTAACACTTAATCTAAAGCTGTCAAAGGATTACAGTGGAAGTGAGGTTGATAAGGGTACCTATCGAAGTCTAATTGGTAGTCTTCTCTATCTCACTGCTTCAAGGCCAGACATGTTATATGCAGTGAGCCTTCTATCAAGATTTATGGCGGCTCCCAAACAGATGCACATGGCAGCACTAAGCATGTGTTAAGTACCTGCGGGGGA